ATCTTCTTGTAATCTCCTATTTAAAGGAGCTAATGATATTCAATAGAGGCATCGAAATTCTCAGTCAAGACAGAGTAGAGGAGAGTTGGTGGTCTCTTGAACAAATCACCATTAAGGCGCCAAGATAGGTTCCTCAAGAAAATGGAGGAACAAGGGAAAACAGGAGGTTTTCCCCGTGGACCGACCCGTGACGAGAACCTATTCGCGGGCCTGTAACAAACTGTCATTTTATTTCTACATCAATAAGTCGGCAAATCATAGGCAATTACTAATGTGGTAACATTCAAGCTTCCAACATTGAGTAAACGGACATTTATAAGAGAGAAGAAAGAAAGAAATACCATAGGTTGCATCCCATAGGTTTTCTCCCTTTTTTTTATCAATACACTAAGTTTTCTCCTTGTGTACAACTTGGGACATAAGGGTGTTTCTTAAGATTTTATTGAATACATGGTGGGAGCTGAATTTTAGCATCCATTACAACCAGTCAACCACTACACAAGAACATTCCCTAGTGTTGCAGACTCAGGTTCCTTTTATATAGGACTGATGAAGCTAAGTGATATATTAGGACTAGACCACCGCAAGTGTTTAGGCTTGACAGTAAGCTTCTCCCTGGGACTAGAGAGACTGGAGTAAATGATGATTATCTAGTGGTGGTTGGATGGATGAACCATTATCCAATGGTCCATGGAGACTTCAATTGTATTAGAGAGGTTTGAATCACAGCAGACAAGAAAAATAGCTGGTTCAATACTTCAATTGAATTGCAAGGTCACCTGATTCTATAGCCGATAGCTTAGCAAGAGGGTGGCAAGAGAAGGACTACTGTTCTGTAAAACTTTCAGTTAATTTCTGTATCTTTTTTCTCTTTGTGATAAGATCTTGGTCAGCCATTGATGCTTCTGGTCTTTCTTCCTAACCTTGTAAGGAAAGGTCTTCATACTTACATGTAACTTTAATGTGTAGCTGATATGAAGATAGTGAGATGGACAAACGGCAAGACAAGAAGGGATAGGATTAACAATATGCACATTGGAGAGGACCTAGAGTAGCCTCAATTGGTGACAAGATGACAGAAATTTGACTGAGATGATTTGGTAATTGCACAGATGATCAATGACTGCACTAATGAGGAACATTCTTGTGCAAGTAGAACACTATTAAAAGACCAAGGGAAAGACCAAAAATAATATAAGTTGAAGTGTTAAGAAGTGATCTACGGACTTAAAATTTGACAGAAAATATGGCTCTTGGTAAAGCATAAAAGCAGGATAGGATCTATATAGCCAACCCCAATTACCTGAGATTAAGGCCGAGTTGGGTTGAGGTTTTGGGCCCTTTGTTAAACCACTAGTAAAGCCCATCCATCCTGACATGTTTTTGCAAACAAAATTTGGATGGAAGAGCACAGGAAACACAAATACATGTATGAATGACCTCTTGGAAAATGGCCTTCATACAAAATATGGGGAGAAAGAAAAAGTACACTCACCTAAGAAAAAAATGAAAATATAAATTTTGAAAGAAAAAAATGACTCCAAAAGGAAATGCAAACTATGATAAATGGCTAAGTGGGGCAAGGTGCCAACCAGCCGGTTGGTAAGGTCACCTGCTGGTTGTAGCGGAGACTTGGGATTGAATCCCTCCTGCACCTGAGTGGGGGGAGTTATGGGTTGGGGGATGGGCTACCCCCCGTTGTGTGGCCCTTCAAAAGTAATCAAAAAAAAAACTGTTATTTATAAAAAAAAATAAATGGCTAAGTGGGTTATTTATGGATTATGGTAGGTTTTAGGCACTCTAATCCATCCATTAAAGAAAAGGGATATGGATAAATGTGCTCAATTCTTTTTTTATATATAGAAAGTGAGAAAAAAAAACATCAAAGAAAAAGGAAGAAAAGATAGGAGTAAGCTTTCCTGTTAATTTATCATTCTTTCTTTTAATTTTAATTTTTGCAGTAAATCCCACCCCAACATGTTTTCCTCCACCTCTTCACTATGATATTCCTACAGCCTCCCTCATGAGATGGAGGACCATATTCCTTTTATTCCTATCACCCCATTCTGTTGGCTAATACTATGCTATCTCCAGGATTCTCAGCACCAAGACGCAAGTGAGAAGAGAAAAAAGAAGATTGGCGTGAAGAGCATAAAAAATGGAAGAAGAGGAAGGTAGGGAATCTTGTTTTCCTCCTACACTTCTTTAGTATTGTTAGCACTCTTGTCTAAATAGAGAGAAGAACAAGAATAATCTTAGAGGTGTCAAGAATGAATGACCCCCACCTCAAAGAGTCTCTTATATATTAAAAGATATGTACAATTACAAGAATGCCCATATAGGGCTGAAAGAGAAAAAAGAAGAATAAGAAGTATAAGTAATGTACAACAAGGACTAGAGTAATAAGATACATCAAGTTATAGAGTCTCCACCCCCCCCCTCAAACTGATGCCTAGACATAAGCATCAGTTTGTCTATAAGAAAGAGATGACGAACTTTAGTCATAGCTTTAGTGAAGATATCAGCAATCTGCATGTCTGATGCTACAAGAGGAAGCAATATAGACCCAGTAGTGAAGAGATCTCGGATAAAGTGGCAATCCACCTCGATGTGCTTGGTCCTCTCATGGAAGACAGGGTTAGATGCAATCTTGATAGTACTCGTATTGTCTACATAGAGAGGAATAGGAGTAGGGAGCTGAATGCCAAGATCCATAAAGAGAGACTGTAACCAAACAATCTCACTGCAAACCGAAGACATGGCCCTATACTCTGCTTCAGTGAAAAACTTGGAGATTGTTTGTTGTTTCTTACACTTCCAAGAGATGAGTGAATCACCCATAAAAACACACCACCCAGAAGTGGACCTAAGTGTCTGGACAACTAGCCCAATACGCATCAACATATGCTCTCAACTGAATAGGACAGGAGGAGGAGAAGAACAGTCACTGGGAAGTTATGCTTCTAACATATCGAATGATGCAATGAACAGCAGTCATATGAGGCTGACGAGGAGAAGAAACAAAATAACAAATTAACTAACAACCTGAACAGCATGAGAAATATCAGGCCAAGTCATAGTGAGATAAATGAGGGACCCCACAAACTGGCGATATAAGGCAGCATCAGGAAGTAATGGACCTTCAGATTTAGATAGCTTAAGATTTAGCTCCATAGGTGTATCAACATGCGTTTCATCATTAAGACCAGCAAGTTTAACAAACAAAATACTCTCGATCACTACGATGTACTTCCAGTCCCAGGAAATATGTGAGAGGGCCCAAGTCCTTCATGTGAAAGGAATTATGAAGTAATAGTTTCAATTCACGAATGCCTTCAACATCATTCCCAGTCAACAACATGTCATCAACATATAGTAGGAGAATGGTATTACCCTGAGGTCGTCGCCTAACATATAAAGAGTGATCAGAAGAACTCTAGCTATATCCAGCAGCAACTACAACATCGCGAAAGCGTTCAAACCATGCCCGAGGAGCTTGTTTTAGACCATATAGAGATTTTTTGATGCAACATACTAAAGAAGGATCACTGCAGTATCCAATAGGAGGCTTCATGTAGACCGTCTCCTTCAACTGACCATGAAGAAAGGCATTCTTCACATCAAGTTGGCATATGGTCCAAGACTGAGCAGCAGACACTGCTAAAAGAACACGGACTGTGGTGATCTTTGCAACAGGAGAAAAGGTTTCTTCATTGTCAATACCATACTCCTGACTATATCCCTGGGCAACTAAACGTGCCTTGTATCGATCAAGGGATCCATCAGACTTCAGCTTAATGTTATAAACCCAACGACTCCCAACAATGGATGCATCTGGAGAAGCAAGCACAAGATCCCAAGTGTCATTCTCATGTAAAGCATGAAATTCTACATCCATGGCTTCCTTCCAATGAGGGCTACTATTAGCTTCCTGGTAGGAGCGAGGAACATTTGTGGGGGATAGGACAGTGGACAAAGAGCTATGGTTTAAAGGAAAACCATAGCGGTCAGGAGGTCTAGATATACGAGTAGAACGACGAAGAGGAATAGAAGTATGAAGAGTGTCTGAAGTAGAGGTATCACTTATAGGAGCAGTGGTAGAATGATGATCTAAACCAAGAGGAAGGAGAGTCGCAGGCGTAGGGGCTGGAGCACATAACCACTTGCGAGAGAAGACGAGAAAGTCCTTCTCAGCAGAAGGAGGTGGAGCATCCCGTGAATCAAAGTTTGGCAAAATAG